TGGGAAGGGACCCATAAAGATCATCAAAGTCCGACTCCAGTCCCTTCCCCAAAAATCACACTGTGTGTCTGAGGACGCTGTCCAACATTTCTTGAACTCTAGCAGGCTGTGACCACTTCCTTGGGAGGATCTTATTCCTGTGCCTAACTACTTCTGGATGAAGAACCTTTTCCTAATATCCAACCTAAACCTTCCCTCACACAGTTTCATGCTGTTCCCTTGGGTCCTGTCACTGGTCATCAGAAAGGAGAGATCACTGTCTGCACCTCCTCTTCCCCTAACAAGGAAGTTCTAGACTGCAATGACGTCTCACCTCAGTCTTACCCAGGCTGAACAGACCAACTGACCTCAGTCATTGCCTGTGTGGCTTCCTGTAGGCCCTTCACCATCTTCATAGCCCTCCTTTGGATGTTTTCTAACATTGCAGCACCCGAAACTGCCCACAGGATTCAAGATGAGGCTGCAGCAGCTCACAGTGGAGTGGGATGATGACCTGCCTTGACTGCTTGGTGATGCTCTCCTGATACACCCCAGGACACACTTCAGGCTGCCAGGGCACGCTGTTGACTTATATTCAACTTGCTGTTGACCAGGACTTTCCTATGTCCCTTTCCACAGTGCTAGCCTCTCACAGGATCACAGAATCACAGAATCACTAGGTTGGAAGAGACCTTCAAGATCATTGAGTCCAACCGATCCCCTAATACCTCGACTAAACCATGGCACTGAGTGCCATATCCAGTCTTTTCAAACATGTCCAGGGATGGTGACTCCACCACCTCCCTAGGCAGGCTGTTCCAGTATTTTATTAGTCTTTCTGTGAAAAACTTTTTCCTGACATCCAACCTAAATTTCCCTTGGTGCAACTTGAGCTCTCGTTCTGTTGGTTGTTGTCTGGTGAAAGAGACCAACCCCACCTGATACAACCACATTTTAGGAGGTTGTAGAGGGTGATAAGGTCACCTCTGAGTCTCCTTTTCTCCAGGCTAAACAACTCGAGCTCCCTCAGCTGTTCTTCATAGAGCTTGTGTTCTAAGCCCCTCACCAGCCTCGTTGCCTCCTCTGGATGCCCTCAAGGGTCTCAAAGTCCTTCCCAAACTGAGGGCCCAGATCTGGACACAGCACTCAAGGTGTGGCCTCACCAGTGCCGAGTACAGGGCAAGAATGAGCTCCCTGCTCCTGCTGGCCACACCATTCCTGACACAGGCCAGGATGCTGTTGGCCTTCTTGGCCACCAGGGCACACTGCTGGCTCATATTCAGTTGGGTGTCAACCAGCACCCCCAGGTCCCTTTCTGCCTAGGCACTGTCCAGCCACACCATCCCCAGCCTGTAGTGCTGCAAGGGGTTGTGACCAAAATGTAGGACTTGGCACTTGGACTTATTAAACTTCATCCCATTGGACTTTGCCCATTCATCTAAACGTTCTAAGTCTCTCTGCAGAGCCCTCCTCCCTTCCAACAGATCAACACATGATCCCAGCTCCTTTCCCAGTCTGTCCACACTTCCAAGCTTGCCCTATCCCAGGTGCAGAATCCAGCATTTTCCCTTGTTAAATTTCATGCAGTTGGTGATTGCTGATCTCTCTAATTGGTTCAAGTCTCTGCAGGGCTTCTCTGCCTTCAAGGGAATCAACAGTTCCTCCCAGCTTAGTATCATTGGCAAACTTAGTATCCCTTCAATTCCTCTGCCCAAGTCCTTTACCAAGACATTGAAGATCACAGTGCCAAAAATGGAGCCCTGTGAAGCCCCTCTCTTGACCATTCACCATCCTGATGTCACCCTGTTCAGCGTAGCTCCTTGTCCCCAGCCTGTGAGCCTGTTGCTCACATGATGATGTGTTTATCCAGCTGTTGAATAGCCATTTTGTCCAGAAGGATGCTGTGAGAAACAGTGTCAAAATCTCTACTGAAATAAGGAATAATTACAATAATGGGCTTCCCTTGATCAACCAGGTGGGTTACTTTGCCATAAAAAGGAAATTAAGTGTGGCAAGCAGGAGCTTCCCCTCATGAGAAGCCATGCTGGCTGTGACTGATGACTGCATTGTCCTTCAGGTGTTTTTTTATACTCCCAGAATAATCTTCTCTATAATTTTACCAGTGACTGAAGTGGGACTGACAGGTCTGTAAAATTTCCAGGGTCATCCTTCTTGCCCTTGAAAATTGGGACAACATTCCAGTCAACTGGGACCTCTCTGGATTCCCAAGACAGCTCAGAAATCATTGAGAGAGGCCTCCCTTGGAAAGAAGACTTTCCTAGGTAGAAGTGCTAAAAGAAAAAAGGCAGGATCTAATTAAACCATAAACATTAATCACCTTTTTCCCCAACATGAGAAATTTTTACACTCATGCTATAATAATTTTGATGCTCATTCTAGCTGCCAGAGGAATATTTTGTAGAGAAAAAATGAATAAATGGAGTTGTAAAAGAAAAACAAGTGTATCGGGTATTTTCTGCTAGGTGTATACATGTCTACTGTTGCAGATGAAAAGATTCCTGAACAAGCAAGGACTGTGTAACAAAGTTCTAGTTGGAAAGATATAGTCTAGAAAACTACTCAATGGAAAAGAGAGGAAGGAATGAAAATAATTTCACTAAATCAATTTAGTGTCCCAACTGATGATGTCAGCCACATGCTATTTGTGCTGGGTAAGCATTTGCATGCAAAGGCAAATGCTGTCAAAACTAGCATATCACAGAACTGGACTCTGGCACAGTAGCAGAATATAAATTAACTTTTCCAAATTTTAAGGTGGCTCATACCACTAGCATAACAGCAAATCTGCTATGAGATTACTTTGCTGTGACTCACTTTCTCCAAGCAGAAGCAGCATGGTATTAAGGAATCTGAAATGACACAGGGGAATTTAGTCAGAGCAAAAGTCAGTAATTTTCTTTTGAATTGAGGCATTACCTCATAAAATAATTATATTCTTATTTTTATATGTATCAGTTAAATTTGGGTTAAAATTGCATGCCAATATGTGTTATTTACATTATCATAAATTTCTTTGGTAATAGTAATTCATCTTGCTACACATACTGACTCCAGTATAAATGAAAGAAACATTTCTCTTTAGCAACAGTAATAATTATGCAGTGGGATCCATAGTTACTGGCAGCCTACCCCTGCTTAAGAAATCGATCATTAAAGCCATCCAGAACAATTACCAACTATATGGCTTTATATATTATTCTATATTACCCATTGCTGTGTCTAACTACTGTAGATTTTTGTGTAAGAAACATGCCCATTTAGGAAGGACTATAAAGGAGATTCCCTAGAAACCTTCCAAGTAGCACAACAGAGTTACGTGGCATTGCTGTGCTCTGAACAAGGCACTGGCAATGGTGCCAACCCAGTGTCCCCTGCATTCTCTGCTGACACACAGCATCCTTTTCATTAAAAAGCAGAGTTCTTTCTCCACATATTTATTTAAAGACCTATGGCACCTTCTGAGGCAAGAGAAGCTTGCCTATCTACCTTCACCTGGTACTAAATACTTAATTTGTCTGACCAAGAGCAGTTGTGCTGTGCTGCAGAACTGGAAAGAACTGTCCTCAGTCTTACGAAGTTCTGCATTTCTTGATAAGAGAACAAAGCACATTTGACAGAAGTTTTTAAAGGAAAGGTCCTTTTAAACCCTAGCTATTATAGTTAAATATGGGGAATAGCCTGCTAATCAAAGGACCTTCTTTGTAGACTGATGTTGAGGAACACATTTAGTGCAGGCAGGTGCAGATTGAGCTCTGGCTGTCGGAACCTGAGACAAGAGGCAGTGAGCTGCTGTCCCTTTGCATAACAGAGGGACTGAGGACCTGCAGCTCTGAGCAGGTGACACGCGAAGGACACTCAGAGACAAGGCAGGAACCGCTGGCCCTGGCCCCAGACTTTTGAGCACTTAGACAGAGAGGGTGTAAAACCTCAGGGTTTCCTTTTCTCCTCCTCAGAGGTGTCCAGCTCGATCTGTTATTTGTTGCAAGTTAAATTACTTCAAGGAGCCAGACCTCTGAGACTCTGCTGTGGGAAACCTGGTGTTGTGGTGTTGAGCTGGTAGGGAAATCATCTTCTGACCGTGTGAGTGTGGGATGTGCAGGCAGAAAAGAGAGGCACCCATCAGCTCCCTGGAGCCCGCTGGGAATGGGCCTCAGTCCCAGCTCAGGTGGTGCAGGTCTGACTGCCACAGTGGCTCTTGGCTGGGCAGACATGAAACTTTAACACTTGCATTGGGTTTACATAAGGAAGAGACTTGCTGGGTGTGATGTCCTCCTTCAAGTGGCACAGATTTTGATGGGGAAGGTTCCTTGGAAGTTTGTGGCTCTCCAAGAAGGAGAAATGTTTAGATTACTTAATTACTTCTAGCACAGCCAAGAGAGGTAACATAATAAGATTTATAAAAACATGCTGTAATGTTGTTCTGTCAAGCAGAGAAGAAGTATAGTGAAAGAGACTAACTACACTAGTGGAGTTTGATTTTGCTCAGTGTTGAATTAATTTTTACAAGGACTGTGTGTGTCAATGCTCTGTATCGAAATAGGAGGTGTATAATAATGTGTTTTCTTCCATGTAAACTTAGGAAAGCTACTTAATTTCTGTGTCTCTCAGAAACAACTCTTAAGAGTTGTCACAGCTGCTTTGGTCTAACTGACCCTGGAATGTTTGGGGTCTTTTTTGCCACATTGGTTGTTCTACAATGTTTTTTCAGAAAGGTTACCCAATAGGTAAAAGGATTAAGAACATTAATTTATTTACATAATGGTGGAGGGGAAATTTTTGTAGCTGTGAAAGGAAAATGTAAATATTTTACAGAATGGATTACTATTAGCATCTGTATTTTAGTTCATTAGGTTGTTTTTTAATAACTTCAGACCTTATAGTGTGACATTTTTGGTTAGTCGAGGAGTTGCTTATTAAGTGGTTTCATAATTAGCCATCTTCCTTTGTCATGCCCTAACATGGTAGAGCTTATTGTGTTACTTTTCTTTTGGCTATTTCAGGTATGAACACAAGCAAGAGCGAGACAGTGAAAGAGCACCCATTAAAACCTTCTAGAAGATCTATGCCATGCCTCGCCCAGAGCCAAACACATCCTCAGAGCCTGAGCAAGCATTCATCATTTCTGCAGCCAAATCGTGTGCAGCCCCAGCTCCAGCCCCAGCCTTTAAGTGCAGGGACATCTGCAGCTGCAGTGGATGCAGTGTCAGAAAGAGGTAGGAGATTCTTTATCAGGAGTTCGTTCCAGCACTGGTAAACTCTGATTTATTTAGATAGCTGCAGTTCTGTGAAGAAATGTTTTTGCACAAAACACCTACACAATACCGTATTAACAGGTTCTTGACTGAATCTTTATAATGTTTTGAAGAGAGTTTCAAACTAATTTTTATCTTTCTCAATGATGACATTATTTCCTTCTCAGTGGTAATAAGGCAAGAAAGTCTTGCTCATTTATGCTGGAGAAAAGTATGAAGGTTTCTGTAGTCTGTCCTAGACGAGAAAGAAAGAATAAATATTAGGCTTCTGACAAAAAAAGTATTTATATATGAACACGTAGGAGGAGATACATTCATTCACAAACAGCAGAAATCAGGGAAGAGTGGTATGAAAAGAATGAGAATGTATGGAGAAAATCCCTCCAAATTTTATCTTGTGTGGAATAAGGAGCTACTTTTATTTTAGAATTTCTAATTTAACAGGTACACATGCCTTATCAGGGAAACTAGTCTAGTTGGAATCCCAATCACTGTGTGTCCCCTGTGGCCAACTATTGCCATCCTCTATTGCCAGATGTGTGTGAACCTTTGTAGAATAAACTCATCTGGTAATAGATTTTGTAAGTCTTTCCTGAATGTTGGTAGACACTAGGCACTAATTATTGTTCTAGTGAAGTATTTTATTGAGTTAAACTTCCCTCAGAGTGGACTGAAAGTCTTCATTAAAGTGATCCTGCTCTTTTTTCTATTGATAGAAAGTGCTCTTCAACATTTCAGTCCAAAGTTTTTAATCTGAGTTCCTGACAGCTTTAAAAAGTTTTTACAGTAAAGATTTTTTTTTTTTTGCTTACAAAATGCATGTGAATGCTGATACAGATATTGCATTTATTCCAGACAAAGTAATGGAGACTTTGGAAAACAACTTGCTTAAGCTGTCTAATACAGAATATGGTGATCCATTTTTAGGTAAGTTGTTGTCTGAACTGAAATAACTAAAATAACAAATTAATGATTCTTTAAGTATTTAAGTGTGGAAAGGACATACTTGTGCTGAAGTTCCATTTTTTTTGAAAAAGGAAACTAAGTGTGACTAAAAAATGTGTGCTCTCATAAATATCCTGATACTGTCTCACCTTTTAGACTAAAAGTAGGGACTAAAGATAGAGAAGTGTTGTACATTCAGTGTGTCCTTTTCCCATAACAATCTTTCATAAACCAATCATTTTGAACAATGTAGTTGATATTCCTTTGAAGTTATTATTACTCACTCATTTTTCTTGTGTAGTTATGTCATTCACTGTTATTGTGGCTGCAGTTCTATTGTTGTTTTTGTTTTTAGATATCTTGTGTATTTGCTTTAGGCATTTACATATAAAAAGCATAATTTGGGAAGAAAAAAAATGCAGAAAAGAGCTGTATTTGTACTGCCTTACTATCATTTTGATATTGTAATTAAGTCAAAGTAAGTAGGAAAGAAGTGATTCTTAGAATAATCCCAATCCTTGTGACTGCAAATTGAATCTGTAAATATACACATGGGCAGTAATTTACAAGTTCCAAGATAAAGTAGTTTTGAAATTCCTTGGCCATTTATTTTACCCATACAGACACAAAGATATTGCTGCACCTTGCACAACTACTATGAAAGATATTTTTGCTCACAGTTGATGAAGCATCAAACTAGAAATCATATCTTCATGCTGAATGAAAGATATAAGCTTTCAGAAAGCTAGGTCTGCTCACGTCTCACATGATTTAACATTGACTTTTCTTGATACCTAAAATATATGATAGGTAAGAGGCTTCTCAAGGTTTCTTGAATAGGTAACTACTGGAAATAGTGATATTGATACTTCTTCTAAACCAGATATTCCAAAATCATGGCACAGACCAAAAATTTTGCATGAAAATTATATAAGAAAATCATATCTTAGTAAGGTTCCAGTTAAAGCTGCTGCACTTTCCTAGTGTAATTGGGTGGCAAACATAGATACTAGAAAATTTTACTGTTATAATTTCCTTCTTTAGTTTTTGGTTTTTTTTTAATGTCCTGCTCTGTTTTTCTCTGAATTTCTTACACATACACATGCTGATATTGTTGTGCACTTATATATGTCAGCCGTAATTCTTTCTGCTTTCTCATAGTAAATGATTCTGTTTGTCATTCACATTACTTGGTTTTATCCTGAAAAAAATCATGGAGGGCTCAGTAACTGTGGAAAAGATAAATTGATTCTTTTCAGTTCAGAATTGTATTAAACATTGGTGTGGATGTTTCTTCTCTTCTGACTACAGCTATACTCGTGAAAGAAAAATAAAAAATATTTAAATAGTTGCCCTTTACTTACCCGATTAATGAATTTGCCTATCTTGAGTCTATCCCAAATGAGATAAGTGAAATCTGTGAAGTTATGCTGTATTTATAGAAATGTAACTGATTAGCTTATTCAGTTACAAGCAAGAAAGAAAACAGTATTTAAAAATAAATCCCAGAGGTCAGTAGTAAGAATTGCCTTATTTTTATATTAGTATTATCAGTTAGTTTTGTGAAGAGAAATAAGGGACAGTTAAAAGGTGCATGTCACAAAATGGCCTGTGGACCTTCAAAAAACAGTTTGTTGCTGCTTTAGTATTGTGTTTATGTGGGTAAGAATTTGTCTCCAAGTCTAAAATTTTCAATTTTATCCTGAATTTGGATGTAGGTGGGGAGGGGAAGTCAAAAATAAACCTGAAAAGGGAATATTGCAGCTTCAACTTGAATCACCAGTTGGGTTAAAACAATGCTTTTGTAGGTACTCTGGCAGTTTAATGGAGTTTCAAAAGTAGGCTGATTAATGGGTATCATCATCTTAGTGAACACTTTCAAACTGCCCTCCTGGGAACATGGAAGAAAGCTGAATTAAGTGAATGTGGTAAATTTTTAATTAGGCAGTGTTTTAGAAATGTAGGCCAAATGGTATTCTCCTCTTTCTGAATTGTTTGTAGACAAAATTATCTTGTGTGAGGGAGATTAAGAGGCATTAAATAAAGGACTTCAGTGGATAGCTTCTCTTTTATTTCAGTTGCCTATAGATGAGGCCATAAATCTGTTGAACAAGTTTAGTTAATTATGTTAATGGATTTATGAAGTAAAAAGATAATTTGTTACACCTTTGTTAATTACACAGATAAATGTGATCAAGGACATTATGGATTTATGTTATTTTTCCTATGTCAGTTTTAGGTGTTAAGTGGTGTTTTTAGTTTGAGGAATCAATAATTTCAACCAAAATGATAGGCATTGAGCTTCTGTAACATAACATGAACTTTTCTGCTTTCTTCCCCTAGCTTACATTAGTTATGAGGGTTTGTGCATAATAACTCATCTTTCTTAGCAGGACATGAAATGCTTCCTTACTAATTAACAATTTTGCTGTGACAGATACCTTGTATTCTGAATGTATTCTGAATCCAATTACTACAAAGTTTATATATATAAAAAAACTCCGTATTTATGTGCCATGCTGCAGTAGAGTGAACAAATGAAGAGCTGAACAAAAACTAACAATCCAACAAAGAATCATAATAACTGCATGATAAAAACTTTTTTTCAGTGCTCAATTATAGAAGTGTTTGCAAGTCAATTTTATGATGTTATGATAGATTGAAAATATGTATATATACGTATAACCTGTGCAATATATACAATGTTTGCATAAATAAAAAGGGTCTGAAAGATTGAAGAGGAGGATTTGAGAAAACCAGGTTCAATTTCTGCTTCAACAGAAATGTGATGTTTCCATTATGCCTTCTAGAATAATTTTTTTGCAAGTTTGTGGGCAGTGCCTGCATAAATAAGGGCTGTCACATCTCTTCTGATTGTGGAGTGAGATGGCCAAAAAGCTGCATTAGAATAAACAGTTTGTCCTACACCCAGAGGTGTCAAGCTCTGTCCATATTAGAGCTGGTTGACACCTGGAGAGCTGGATGGATGTATGGATGAAGAAGCTATTTCATCTATTCAGTGCTCATTGGAACATAATAAGGATTAGTCTTTGGACTTAGTGTTGCAGTTCAAAATTTTGATGTGTTTTAGGCATTTGATCTGGCTCCACCAGTTCTGTACACCATCTTAGCTCCTCTAAAGAGCAATAATATATGACGGGCTCCCTTTTTAAGAAATTAGAATTGTTCTGTGTAACAGTTACCACTGTCTGGAAGTCTGTAAGAAATTGTAGATTAAGAAAAGTCTGTGTTTGCCTGTTATGATAGTTTTTCATATCTAAATATAAATGCACAGGTAGATGAAAACCTTTCTATGTTATCTGTGCAGTACAGTATTCCAGGTGCACAGCAAAATAAAATAAGACCTAAATCCATCACAATGTAATTTATCTAGGTTTCTACTGATGTTCTTCCCCAGATTACTTGTTTTTTTCTAGAATGTAAATTAGGACAAAAGGGGATTATTTACTTGACCAATAATCTCTTTCTTACTAAAGCTTTGCAAAGCCTATCCTTAAATGTGTAAAAGCTCGAAGGATTGAGTAGAGTCATCACATCAAAGTTTGTGAAACAGAAACTATTTAGAAATATTTATATTAATTTTCCTTTCCATAACTATGCCACATTTCAATTGAAAAACATTTGCTACCATGTACTACTGTGTATATATAAAATTTATCACTGGATTATTACATATTATAGAGAAATCAGGACAAATGATTCCCTGTCATAAAATTAAAATTCACTCTTGGCCCTAACCAAGCTGTTAAGAAGACACAAAAAGAAAAATTCAAAATGTGGAGTTAGTTATCTATTTCTAAACTAAATACTTATGCATTTTTGTCTAAAGGAATTCCAGAAATGAAATTGTTTTGAATGTTTTATCATGTAAGTGACCTTATAGGGCAAATCTTACTGTCATGCATTAAGTGTTGCCCAATTGTATGGCAGAAAGTGTTGATAGGCTTTTGTGATGTTTGAAGACTGAAATTATTCATCCTGTCTATTTATAACAAGACAGCAAAGCAAAGCAACTGCTAGGATGAAGAGATCTGCTTAATTAATGCTTGAATCTTTTTCAAATCACTTTATACTTGATTGTGGATCTCAGGTAACATTATTTAGTTACATGTTCTGTTGTTTTAACAATTATATGGGTGTATCTGCTTTAAGTTTGTACTTAATTAAATGAAATCTTTGACATACTGAATTGAATACTGAAATTCCCACTGACTTTATTGAGATTAGATTTGGACTCTACATGTAGAATTAGAAGCTTAGAACCCTCTGATTTAATATCCTTCTCCTTATTTGCAATTCAGCCTTTTTAATACATCAACAAGATGCTATTAGTTGGCTATACTAATTTGAAAATGTACTATAGTTGCTTTGTATTGCAGTACTGCAAACACATAGTCTTTTAAATGTAAGATTTTGTAAAAAGATTGATGTTTAAATCTTTCTCCTGTTAGTAGATACTCTGAAAACTCACATAAAGGGGTATTGTAAGGGATCATGCACATAGTGTTTGCTTTAGTGAGAATATTTTACCTGAACAGTGTATTGGGTTTATGTGGTAAGCGTTAGGTAGCTGGGTGAGGCTACAGGGGTGGCTTCTGTGAGAAGCTTCTAGAAGCTTCTCCTGTGTCTAGTAGAGTCAATGGCAGCTGGCTCCAAGATAGACCTACTTCTTGTCAAGGCTGAACTCATCAGTGACAGTGGAAGTGCCTCTGGAATAATTGTTTTAAGAAGGGAGAAAAAAAATACACAATGGCGACTTCAACTGGAACAGGGATTCTCTTGCAAGACCACGCTGAGCTAGACTGTGCCCCTGCAGCCCATGGAGGTCCATGGTGGAGCAGAGATGCACCAGGAGCTCATAGAGGACCCCATGGTGGAACAGGTTACAGCCTCAAGCCTGTGGGAAGCCCATGGTAGAGTAGGTTCATGACAGGACCTGTGGAGAGAGGAGCCCAAGCAGGTTTGCTGGCAGGACTTGCAATCCTGACTAAGGGCAGTCTTATCCTGAGGGACTGTACCCCATGTAAAGAACCCACACTGAAGCAGTTCATGAAGGGCTGCAGCCTCTGAGAAGGACTCATGTTGGAGCAGTTTATGGAGGACTGTTCTCAATGGAGAAACCTCATGCTGGAGCAGGTGAAGACTGTGAGGAGTTCCCCCTTAAGGTGGAAGGAGAAGCACAGTGTGTGATGAATTGACCACAGCTCCCATTTCCCATCCTCCTCTGCTCCTGCAAGAGAAGATCAAGAACTCAAGAGTAAATTTAAGTCCAGGAAGAGGGCTAGTGGGAAGGTTTAGCTTCATTTGTCGTTATTCTCCTCTGAACTTACTGGTAATAAATTGAGTTTTCCTCAAAGAGTGTCTTTTGACCATAGGGACTATAGGGATAAAGAGGGACTGATCTCTCACTGTCCTGACCTCTGCTCAGGAGCCTGTTGTTATATTTGTCCCTTCCCAGTTCTGCTGAGGAGTGGAGTGACTGAGTGCCTTTGGTGGGTACCTGGCATCCAGCTAGGGTCAATCCACCACAGCAGACATAAAAAAAAAAATTCTGCAAGGTGCTCAAAACTAAAATATGAGAGTGGTTAAGAATGAAGGCAAATGTCCTTTTGATGTCCTTGTTGATTTGAGGACATAGGCATGAACATACATGAGTTCCATCCTCTATTTCCAGGTCCCCACTGCAGCAATTTTTTTTCTTTTTTCCACCAGTTATGCTTCTCCATCTCTCTTTTCCTTTATTCCTTATATTTCTTGAGGTTTTGCACAATCTCAAAATTTTTAAGGTAACTCAAGATACTCAATTTATTCGGGCATTAATGTAGGGAGGTTTTCAACCAGGTGTCTCCCCAACAGGTCAGATTTTTTTTTTTTAATTTTGATTTTTGGTCCTGCAGTAGAGGAGAAATGGAAAAGTGCTTTGTAAACACTTTTTACCCTTTTTTCTGATTTGACCATATTTTTACATCGGCTAAAGGTTTTTTGCCTTACTGAATTATTAACTGCAGTGTAGATTAACTAGAAGCTAAATACAGCACATCTGCTCAGCTGATGTATTTCAACACATAAACATTGATCCATGGATATTTTGATAGAGTAATATTTTAGTGATTAGACCCACACAGTTTGAATCAGATCAAGCTCTGTAAGGAGGAAAATTAATAAAATCCAACTAAACATGCTCAATAAAAAAATTGTAGGGGCTTGCAAATCCACTGTTACATACAAATGGGACACTCCCAGCTCATGTCTTTCAGCTGTGCCCAGCAAAACACAAATGGGGTGGCATTTATTAACAGCAGCAAAGAAAACAGAATCATACAATGGTTAGGGTTGGGAAGGACCTCAGTCATGATCTAGTTCCAGTTCCCCTGCCATGGGCAGGGACACCTTGCACTGGACCAGATTGCTAAGAGCCCCATCCAACCTGGCCTTGAACACCTCCAGGGATAAAAAGTCCACAACCCCTCTGGGCTGGGCAGGTGAGTAACAGCTGAGGTCTAATTAGGATTTTCTGTCAATTGGTGTAAAAATCCTGAGCTTCTACAGCAGTATGAACTGCATCTTTTCTTCCTCATGCTAGTTTGAAAATAAACCCATAGGAGAAATGATCCCCACACAGTTCCCTTGAGAGGGATTTCAGGTCAAAGTTACAATTTAGTAGAAAGATTACAATAAATGAAATGATACAGAAAATCTGGCTTTGACCCACAAATTCAGAGTACAGTCTGGCAGCCTGTGGGTCAGGGTGGTGGCTACAGTCCAATTAAATAGTGATTGCAGTCCTGTGGAAGTGATGGTTGCAGTCTTGTCAAAAGTGGTGGTTCTTGTGGAAGTTCTGGTCCAGCCCTCACTCCCTCGAGTGGTGATGCTGGGAGTGTCCCAAGTCCCCTGTTATAAATGCTCAGCTCCCAGCAGGAATGCTCAGTACCTCCCCCAGGGTGGTGAGTTTCTCAGTGGAATGATCCTATAGGATCATTATATCCTATTATATCCTATAGGATATTGTTTTGAGTCCTTGGTAGTCATTGCAGCTGCCTGTTCTGCTGGTGCCATTCAGTTCATTATGGCCTATTAACACACATGCCCCCCTCAGGATGGGTGGGACTGTGCTGCTGCTTCTCTGGAGGGAGTTATCAGGGCTGAGTCACTAGTGTGGAGAAAAAGAAACACTGCCCTGCTTTTCCCAGTTAGCTCTTTTACCTTATTTAACACCCAGCTGTAGCCTGGGGGGTTGGGTGAGCAGTGGGCATCTACTGTGAACAGCACATCGTTAAGATTTTGTCAGGAATGATGTGTAGGGGAGTGGAAAATACAGTTTGGTTACACCCCACATTGGCACTCTCCTTCTGTAACCCAGGACATTTCTATGGCTGCTTGCCTACCTAATTTCTTTTCCAAGGTCAAGGAGACTACTTGTGATGGTTGCCAACAGAACTTATCCAAGAAGTACAAGAATAGAGAGCACTGGTCTCGACAGTAACAACCAAATGGGTTGTCATAGGCCAGGGAAGACATGATGGAAAATAAAAATGCAGAGTAAACAGTACCTTTCCCACAGTGCTGAGATAGAGAGAACTTCAGGCAGTCAAACTTTTCTCATGACGTTTTGTAGAGCTGCAGCCAAATGAGATCTATGTTTTAATTTAAAGATGGATACTTATACTGCATATCAAATAAAAAGACTTGGTGCAGATCATTGCTTTTGGGATAAATTACATTAAAAACATCCTTGAGCAGCACAACTCAAGACACAAGATTCAGGGATGCTGTCTTGGTTTGCATCATGGCAATCCCACATGGAAGATGAAATACACAACCAGATAATAGATATTGTGGAGGAAAGGATAACATGAAATAGTGCTACTTTATAGTCAAACATGATATAAAAATGTCATAGAAGCTTAGAAATAGCAGTTATTGAAGAAAGTCTCAAGGACTAAAATCTCTGTGCATTTAGTATGAAATTATCAAGGGAACATTTTGTATAATCATTATGTAGTAACTAAAATGAAGACAAAATAGCGCTCAGTAAATGTTCTGGCTTTTAATATTCCATCTCAGAAATGCAAAATGTTTAGGCTACGTGAGATAATTGTGGTTAATTTTTTCTTTTTTTAAAATTCCTGTACTATTTAGTGTAGAGAATTTAACTGAACAACTTCATGAAAAATACTTAAGTGTTGCGGATGAACTTTTATGAATTTAAAATCCATGAAATTCAAGATTGTGGCTCCCACAGCAACCACGACTCTTTTCTTGGCTTCTGGTTAAGGTTTTGAATTACTGAGCTAAATGCTGTTCCTAGTCCACCTGACTTTTCCCATGTTGATGCAAAAGCTGAGATGGGAACTTGACTTTTGTGGGTAAATTTTTTGTCTGAGTATGTTTCTTTTTCCAATTTGTCCAATATGATATTGTGTGGCAGTGATTATTCCATCTTTTTAATCTTAAACATATTTTTTCAAGACAGGCCATTTTCCAGCATTCATTAAAGCTTTACAGGCAAACACTGGACAGGCATTGCTCTTCATTTTACTCCTGCTGGGTGTATAGGGCAAATATTGTCATGATTCTTTGATGGACAGTATGGGTAAGCTCTGAGGCAGGTCCTCAGTTTCCTGCAGCTCTCCTAGGGCACTCAACTAAGTTTTCACAAAAACTTTAGCTGTGCAATTTAATTTAGGCAATTCAAACCAAATCCAATGACAAGACAAACACTTCATGAAGGGCCTTCTATCTTCTACCACCATCAGGTATACACCAATTAAAATCTCTTCTGAAGCACTTACTGCAATATCCTAATGTGCAAATTTTCAAATGCTTTATCTGCATGTGTGTAGGGGAATTGGGCATTTCTTGTTGAAATCTAAAACATGAGATGTTACTTTGGTCTCCAGGATGTGCCACCTATTTGGTGGAACATCTTAAGCCTCAACAACTGTGAGTCAAGCAGTTGAATATTCATATTACTTTGTTTTTTAAAATTACAGTAAAGGAGGTTATCAACTTTTTTATTTGAATGCTAATAAAAAAAACATTTCTATAGACCTACTGAAAATAGCAGTCACTTCTAGTTTAAGATAAACATGATAACATTTCAAGTATAAAGCTTTATCAGAAAAAGAAATATGTTTTTAAAAAGTGTATACATAAAATGAATATTCAACTGTGGCTATAATAATGCTGTTTATTTCTACCCACTATAATCTAAAATGAGCCCATTGTTTTCTTCTGGTTTTCCTTCAGATGTAGGAAAGGACAAAGATACATATACAGATGATTCAGAACATGGGAATTATGATGCTCGTACAGATCAGTCATTGCTTATTCAAAATAAGCTCATCAGGCAGAAAACAGAACCTCGAACTAAATCATCTTTAAAGGTAATGGACACAAAATTCTATGAAATTGTATCAACTGTCAAAATGTGCTTAAGTATTTTTAAAATGCAATTTTTAAAGCACTATATATGTTGCAGCCTATTTAAATAGGTGTCTTGTGGTAATAAATTTAGGTGGCTTCCAAATTGTTTGAAATGGTAAAACTTCTAAAATAATTTTAGGTAATGGTTTTAATTATTTTAATTTTTAATTAATTTTTTAATTAATTGTTTTAATTAATCATGAGCAGTGTGTTAAGTCTTTAATCACTTTCAGTTAGCATTTAACAAAGTTGTCATGCGCTGCTGTTGTGGGAACACAACTGCATAAAATTACTGAAATTAGTTTTGTTAAACTAGACTTGATATGCTTCAAAGAAGAAAACCTGAGAGAAGAGAGGTGTATTGTTGAAATTGTATACAAGGAGTGCAGAATTTATGGATCTCAAGGTCATTTTTCAGAAACCAGAAGATAAAGAAGAGACTAAGTATGTGGGCTGGAAAGCCCCTACTGAAAGAGAGAGACTAAAATTATTAAAGATATGGACTAGTTAAGATGTGCAAAGAGAACTAAATAAGCAACAGAGGATAGAATATTAGTTAATGAAAGAGAATTATGTAATTTAGAACTAATGAACACTGATTTCTTTGTTTGCTAAAAATGTATAAAGAGGTTATAAAGTTTTGTATCAATTTTTATTTGGAGGCTGGAATTTTGTTGGCAACACACACACCTCCTCACCAAGAATAAAGTAATGCCTTGCATGCTAACGCTAAGAAGACAATGTTAAAGGATTTTATTTATCCTGATGATTTTGGAGGGTGCTAGTAACAATATTACAGTTTGAGAGGCAGAATCAGTGAATGGAATTCTCTGTACTAAAATCAAGCAAAATCTTATAAAATCAAGGATTCTTATGTTTTTTATTGACTCATCTAAGAGTCAGTAGCCTTCTCTCTATAAATTTATATTGCACAGAATTTAGGATATAGGATTCTGAGCATGGGGTGGAATTCATTTTATCTGGGAAGCCTCAGAAATTTTGAGAGTGTAGAAGAACTATGTTCATGTACCAAATGGTCAGTCAAGACTGATCTATTTAGAGTAGAAGATTCTTCTATGCAATATCAAAATGATATCGAGACACATTGAATGAAAGATAGAATTCACTTACATATATGTGAGTGTAGGAGTATTTCAGGAACCTCAGCTAAAGCCATCACATCTCACCATGCCAGATAAATCTGGCATGCTATCTTGCTTAGTAATTGCATAATTATACTATTCATTACGATGCATTTTTTCCAGCAGTTAATGCACTATAATGCCAAAGAATTATGGTGGATTTTCTATTCAGAATGTGTATCCTTTTTTTAGTCATACTTTTAACTAGGAGACCCTTAATTCTCCTCTCCATTAAGCATAATTGCCTGCATACATATGACAAATGGCTTAACATCAAGAAGTTCTGAATAATTTTCTTCTTCACACACTGGAAATAGTGAATTCTGCAGCACAGGGTTTTTTACCAGTGATTCTGTGATTTTTGCTATGTGCCTGTATGCATCAATAATCCTGTATTACAAATCTAGTAATGCTTGAATTACTGTAAGCTTCTATCCTGTGTGCACAGCACGTGTGGTGTGTTCTTTATGAGACCACTATAGAGCTCTTTCATGGATTTTATCTGTCACTTTGTGATTTTAGCACTGAATGCATACTTCATACTTATGTCATATAACAGTTCTAATGCTCATCACACTCATCATCATAACTACAGTATTCTGGAACATAGGTAGGTGTGACCTATGAGTCTTCATTTCATAGGATGCTTTTAGAAAAAACTTTTATAGCAGTAGCTAACTTCTAGTTTTTGAATAACCTTAGAGATAATTGTATTTACAGGTTGGAAATCTGTGACATGAAAATGAAACTTCAGGAATGACATGTATGAAATGTATGTCATATATATAACCTTTCCTGGGTTACATTTTCATGTCCAACCTGTAAATACAATTTCCTCTAGAAAGAAAGAAAGGAATTAAGCTTCAGATGGGGAGAGAAATAAGGAGATGCTTTAATAAGCTGAAATATTCTTTTGCTAAAACTATAGAGATGGACAATAGTGTTTTGAAAAACTCCTTTAATTCATGAAAGAGTATTTTGGGGGAAATAGAGTATTTCAAAGTGTGGATTTAAGCAAGTGGTGAAGTAGTTGTGGTCTTATGTGATGCTAGAACAGAAACAGAGAAGTGAGAGTTGTTGAAAATTTGTAGCCTTTAAGAGGCAAAGAGAAAACTACTGTTTCCAGAGAGGCTCACAGAGACTGATGAAGAGAACTTTTGCCTTTGAATAACTCATCCTTAAAATGACACCCCTTGACCCATGGCCCATGACACACTTCAGAGTGATGTGAAATGGGAGGAGAGAACTGATGACAGAATTTACCGGGCGGCTGGCATCAGAGAAATAGAAAACCATAGGAAAATGGTTTTCTTGTGAAAAACTCCATAGATTAGCAGAAGAGAACTTTTTCTCTACAAAGACTGATGAAGAGACGATAGCAAAGTTAGGACTGTTTTAGCCACTAAGGTTTTTTTGTCTCTATGTTGTCATGTGAATGAGAGAATAGTTGGGTAGTGGGGAAAAAAGAGTTCTGGAAGTTTTATTCTGGTTTCTTATTCTTATAGTTTTGTTAATAAACTGTCTTTATTCCTTTTAAGCCTGTTTTGCTCTTGTTCTAATACATGTCTCACAGCAAGAAATAAGTAAGTTTTCTAGTGATTTTTTAGCTAATGCTTTAAAACCATGACACTTTCAAAGTTTAAAGAGGAGTTTCACGTTTGTATTAAATTTAAACAAAAATATGCTTTTTATGTCTCAGTTTTTGTATGTACTCACCTATTGGACAAATTCTTTCAGAGTTTAAGGACAGGTGCATCTGGCTTTTTACTTTGACAATTCCTTTTATCACAGCACTACTCTGGAAACTTCCTTCTGCATTTAGAGGGACTGTTTTTGCAAATGAAGTGTTTTGGTTTAACCCCAGCTGGATTAAACCCAAAATTCAAAACACAGCCCTGTACCAGTTACTGTGAAGAAAATGAACTCTATCCCAGCCAAAGTCAGCACCTGAAGCAACCAAGCAGGATTCTTCCTCACTTTACCTTTACCTGCTTCCACAGGAAAAAGGCAAGGGGAATTTAGATTAGTCTTATATTAAAAAGAAACACTACTCTTCTGCCTTTGGATTATTGTAGAAGTCTCTGTGGCAGTTAGTTTAAAAAACCTTAGGGAAACTTCTTCCCAAAATGGACACAAAGCTAGCAAAAGAATGCCTCTAACTCTTTCTGAGACTGCTGAAAGCACAGAATACTGCAGTACAGTGTTACAGCTGGTAAGTACTCTCACATATTTGAAATGTAAACTGATCTGTCACAATAAAAAAATCTCCTCAGTCTGACCAGATAATGAGAAACACCTTGGCCAGGAGTACAAGGATAAAAGCATATTTTTCTTCTCTTCTTTTTAATGTTTCTAATTTTGGCTTGTTTTGGAAGACTTGTATACTTGAGAGACTCAGGGAAAAATTGCTAAAAAATTTGTTTGCAGTTACTTCTTGGTGCCATGGTCTTTCTCAGCAATAACCTGCTTGAATACTTCAGCTCTAGTGAACATGTCTTGTGGGCATGATGAAAGCCAATACAAATTTTTTTTCAGGAATTATTTAGTTTTTCCAATTACATGCATGATACCTCCATAAATCTGATTCTTGTTGCTGCATTTTAAAGCTTTGGAAAATCAGATAATTTTCTTATAGCAACCAGTTGCCAATGTATTAATCTACTTTTCTTGTTTCCACAATTATGATTTATAACTCATAGTTTCCTATAGTGTAGGTTGGTATCATTTTAGAATCCACAAATTTCATATTGAAAAATTGTGAGTCTCTCAGACCCATGAAAAAGCTGTCATCGTTGTCAATCTCTGCCAACTTTTCATCACCAGCTGCTCGTGAAATTGCATAGAAAATACGACTTCATGTATGTGATTCTGCCAAGGGGTCTGACAAGGAAGAATGAGGCCAAGTGTCTGTTGAGCAAAAATTAGTAGTGTCTGCTTTGCAAGGGAAATGTAGAAAATGAGAAAGTTCCTGAGTGGAAAGCTGATACTTGAAACGTTCCCTTAGGAAAGGGAAGCAGGTTTAAACAGACTTTATCACTTGAGTGGAAGGCAACATTTTTCCAGAGAAGCAGCAAAATAGCAGCCAATTCTTTACCTATTGCTATTACATGTATAGTGCAAGATAGGAATATTTGAGGGATTACACTTAATTTCCTTCCATTCAATACATCACTGTTATTCTCTTTGATCTAATAAATTTTGTATCTAGGTATTGCATTTTGCTATCTGGCAAGGTAAAGAAAGGATTTTTAGAACAAGGTTCACATTATTATCATCACTGTGCATTTAGGAACTATGAAGAAATGCTACCTATACAATAGCCTAATTTACTGCCTTTATCTGGTAGTCCAAAATGCAGTCTAATAACACAGCAGAAAATAAATCCTAAAAAAAAATTATAACAAATAAAATAATTATCCCAGAATGGTAGGATGTGGTAAACTGCAGCAAAAGTTGACTTCATGTTTGTGCTTTTAGTGCTTGGCTCTCATCTCCTGTGAGATTTTGTTTAAAAAAAAAAAGCCAAAAAAAAGCTCAGAAAATATTTCAGGAAATTCAGGGTAAGTAGCAAGTAAATGTAACCTAAAACCAAAAATGTTTGAAAATAAACATGTAAAGAAAAATTTTCAGTGGTTATTATGTGGTTAGTGGTTAGTATGCGTCTTAAGACCTCCCTATTAGACCTCAAGAACAAATAGAAGAGGTTAAATATTAAAAAGCTTCCTCCTATCTCCAAACATCCTCCATTGCTGCTCCCTCATATGGTAATATTGAACAGACCTCCTTTAAAAATTTTGCATATCACCTAACCCACTCCT